AGGGCCTGGTGCAGCCATTGCTCTATGTTTAGTCTCACCCTTCCTCTGAGGCCTGGGCTAGCAGGGAAGGGGCCTAGAAGCAAACTGGGCCTTCCAGTATCCCAGCCTGTTTCCTCATCCATGAAATGCAGGGTTTGAAAGCAGGCATACCATGCCTTCAAAAGCCCCTCCTACCCCTAGGCACCTGTTTTGGTTTCAACCCACCCTCCACCCTGGGGTTGACACAGGTATTCGGGATACAGAAGCTACAATCTAGGTTGACAGCCAGGGACCCATTACCTCTCAGCCAAAGTGAAGTCCCCATCCTTCAAGGCTGGCACCTTCTTTAGGGGGTTTATCTTGACAAAGGCATCAGTATGGTGTTGGCCTATAGAGAGACCAGAGGGGTCATGGAGGAGGACCTTGAGGCTGTTCAATATCTGCCTGCCCCCTCCCATACATTCAGGCACCGGTTTTTCACCAGAAACTTCAGGGAAGAGGAGGCTAGTGTGCTGGCCAATGAATCACAGATGAGCTCTGTCATAGGTCCATCTGCCCTACGCCCCTCTCTGAGAAGCCTGGATCAAGCAGATTCTCCACTTGGGTGTGGGAAGGAAGGGGATTCTATGGAGCTATCAGCCCACAATCATCTGAATGCAGACACCCCAGCCTCATTCTTGGTTTCTAGTCTTGCCCTTTGATCCATCTTCCTATCCTAGGTGAGAACAGGTTCTTCTGGCCAGGCTTAGTGGATACCCCAGAGTTCCAGCCCTCCCTCTTCTCAGTTCTCAGTTCAACAGGGCTCTTGCCAGGAATGCCTGGTTCAGTCACCCAGCCTCCAGCAACCCCAAAAAAAAACATTCCAGCTCAAGTGAGAGTGCTGGCCTCTCTCCCCCACTGCCTTTTCACAGAGCCCTCCAGCTGGCTGGAAACTCCCAAGGCCAAGAGCAAAGTGGATAGGGAAGGGGGAAAAAAGTAAAACAGGACTGGCAGGCCTGCAATTCCAGCTACTTGGGAGACTTTGGGCAGAAGGAGCACAGGTTCAGCACCTGCCTGGGCTCCAGAGTGAGTGTAACACCTGGACAGCCCAGGGATATAACTCAGTAACATGCATGACACTGTCGGTTCAGTCACCAGTAAGAGAGAGAGAGAGAGAGAGAGAGAGAGAGAGAGAGAGAGAGAGAGAGAGAAATGGCAGGCAAGCCTGGAAATTGGAAGGCACCTGTTTCTGGTAGGTAAAAGAAAGGCAAGAGTCAGGGGTGAGGGATTACCACCCCCCCACTCCCCCACCCGCCCCCATCCCCGTAAAACTCTTTTCTGCCCCAAGATGCAGAAATGCAAAGTGGTGATACTCAGGTAAAGAATTAAGCCAGAAGGGAGGATTTGCAAGCCTTGGCTCTACTTCCCTCCCCTGGCCATGAGAACTTCCTCTACTTTCAATCCTGCGTTTGGAGGGATGCCTTGTATTCATCAGGCAAAGGTTCTTAAAAACTCACAGCTAAAAACTGATGTAAACGCTTCCTCCCTGGGTGGCTCGCGTTCCTCTCCTATCGGCACACTGAGCCTGACCCTTCAGGGGTGGCAAGCCGCCGCGGTCCACCAGTACTCCTGGCCCCAGACTCCTCTGTCTGCCCGCTGGATCTACCTTTGAACAGCTCCACGGTGTGCAATTGGAAGGGGATGCCGTTCTTCTTGGCGAAGATGTAGACCGCACGGCAGGGCTGGGATATCAGGTCCAGGTAGAGTTCCAGACCCATGGCGGAGACTGTGGGGGTGGCAGACCTAGGAGGTGGGAGAACACGTTCCGGGCACAAAGGCAGGAGCGGCAACGGGCGGGCAGAACCGGCTGGAAGGGTCCCTGGCGGTCAGTGCTGCCAAGACTAAAGAATAGAAGCCAGACTACACCCTTTCCTC